TATTTTGCAATGGTGTTGAATGACTGCTCATAATTAGACCATAATTGTGATTTAATTGCTCTGTGATCTGACTGGCCATAATGAGGGAGCCAGGAGTCCCATCTCAATGGGTGGAAAGATTTAACTTTATTGTGGAAAGTATAATCCCCTTCCATGCCATTAGAAGTATCACATTAAATCCTGGAAATTTTTATAACAGGCACGATGTGGCTCTTGGGCTCTCTTGTCCATCTCTGGGCTGCTCCTCTGTGGCTCAGGACAGGATGGATGACTGCTTTGCCAGAAGCAGGATCAACTTCTAAATCCTGGAGAGTTCTACACTGTAAATTCAGGCACAGTAGAGACAAGGTCTTCCTCAAGGCAGTATTTTAATACAAAACACACACATTTCATGACTGCTAAGTGCAGTACTTCTTTAAGTATTTCTTTAAAGAAAGAAGACTACTGATTTGCAGCAAAATATGTGCCAAGTCAGAGAAGAAGAGATTCTGTCTTTATTTTACATTTCATTCATGACTACTCCAACTGTCAGAGTTCAAAACAGGCCTTATAAATCTAGAATACAAGAACATCTCCCAGGTTTTCAGATAGCAAGATTTCTTCCTCTCCACTTAAAACCCACCTGGGTCCGAAAAGAATTTGGGTCAGATGGAAAAATGACAGAGAATTCGCCATGCAGAGACTGAGCTAGCAGAGACTGAAGGAAAACACTTTTTGGAGCTGATGTGTGACGCTGCAGAGGTAAACTGGGAACAGCAAGAGCTCACTCTCTAAACAGCCTCTCCCTTTGCTGGCCCAGCACATCAGTCCCAAGCTCTGCTCCTCACAGGCACCAGCGCTCACCGGGTGCCAGGCACAGGCACTCAGCGTGGGATGCTCAGCATCACCACTCACAAAGTGACACTCTGCTTCCCTGTGCTTGCTAAACCACCAAACAGATGTGTCAACTTCTCCTTTTTTTTTGTTTCTTTAAATGTTTTACAGAAAATCCCAAAATAACAAAACAGGAGTTATCTCACGAGCTCTCTCAGGAAAATAAAAGATTCAAATACCAGCTCACGAGAACTTTTTGAAAGAAGCTGGTTTTGTTCACATTAGTGTAATGTAACTGAGTTTAACATCTCATGTATAGCAGATGCCAGCCTGACATTGAAGCATTGAGTCACTGCTCTGTATTTCAGAATTTATCTTAGGGTCAAGTTAATGTTTGAAAAGAAACAAATGCAGTTGATAGCACTGGGTAAACAGTGACTGTTTCTGCTTGGGATCATGCCTGCTCCTGTCCACCCTGTACAGAGCTAAAAAAAAAAAGCCCCACAAGCCCCCTCAACTCCTCCCTACCGTGGGATCATCCCAGCTGCAAAGTCTATCAAAATTATTAATTGTATAAACTGCTCTCAGCACCTCCAGTTTTCAAAGCAAATGGTCATTAGGAACTTGGGATTCTGTCACTTTTTTAGGGAAGCAAAGCATTGAAATGAGAACTAACAAAAAAAAAATAAAAATAACTTAACAAAAGTATTAACTTTGACAGTTTCCCATACCAAGCATCTGGCTTGGTGTGGTTTGGCACAGGTCATTGAACAAAGGATCAAAAAAACCTGGAAATCGCTCTGAATGTGCCCATCTCTCACTGAGGGAGAATGAAAACCCAAATACCCTGCCTCAAACAAAACATGGTCCATTTTTTATAGATACAGTCTTAATTCTTCTCTTTTGGAGGATGGCACAACAAATTTCTCTTCTACTGTGCTGGACTCTGACAACCAAGATCCACGAGAAGAAATGGTGTGCCTGATTTTACAACTATCTATCCAATGCAATCAATTATCAACTTATCAAAGTGAGCTACTTTGACAAATCTGAAATATATTCAAGGAAACTACAATATTCACAGTAAAGCTGGGAAATCACTATCTTAAGGCAATGCCAGCTTTGTACTAGAATATGTGACCACTGCTCCAATAATTCAATCTATTAATTCCATACTCACTGACCAAGTAATAATAAAAATGTATTTATTAACTCTACAGAAGTTAATTGCCAATTTCATCAGAACTTAGGCACAGATGTAAGATGGAAACAGTCAGTCATAAAAGCACTACATGTTAACTGAGTTTTTTTCACACATTTGACAGTTCTGAAAGTTACTAAGCTACATGGCATAAAGATTCTTCCTCTCTCTCCCCCAAAACTGGCAACTATAATGCACAGTTTTATTCTCAAATCTAATAGCAAAAAAGGGTGCAGAAGGGGAAAAGGAAAGGAAAGGTCCACTAAAGTTCTTTAGCCTTTTTCACTCTTCTTCACAGTGTAAGCAAAGGACCAAGAAATCCCTTATGACCAGTATTAAATACCAGTGTTCCCATTAAGAGATTTCATAGAAGTTCCTCCTTTTTGAACTTACTTTCTGAACTTACCACTCATAAAAGCAAGAAAAAATATTACAGGTGAACCTGTAAGTCTACAAACTCTGGTTTAATGATAAAGCCCATGCACAGCCTTTCCCACCTACATTTCACATCCTAGTCTCTTTCACCAAGAGCAAGGTCAGAACCATTATTTTCTCTGCTCATGCTTGCAGGTGACTGACTTATAGTAAATTTCCTGTTTTTCCAGCCTTGTAAATGTAATACAAAACAGACAGGCAATAAAATGTACACATTTCTAGGTTAATATTGCCCCAGCACTCCAGCACCAATCAGTTAGGAAATATGAACTGGGAGGAGGAGGAGGAAAATCATAGTTTTTTCATCGTAGGAAAAAAAATGCTTACAGTCTTATCTGCACACTCCTTTGCTGTCTGCTTTACTGCCACAAGCTTCCTGTTGAATGACAGTTGCCATTCTCATAATCAGATTTTTAATCAACACAGAAGTAATGCATTTTAATTAAAATGCTCTCCTTTTCTATGCTTATGATTCTGATACATGAGGGAGATCCCTGCTTTGCACAGAGCAGCGTGCAGATGCCAGGCTATCATTGACAGGCACAGGGAGCTGCTTTCCAGACCACAAAAATATTTAGTGACTTAAAAACCAAATATTTATTTCTATTCCACATTCTTGGCTAATAAAGTATTTTTTTAAAATATGGAGAAAGAAAAGTAAAGTACAATTGCACAGTAACCAAGGGCATGGTTCTCAGCTGTAGATGGGAATAGCCCAATGTTTTTCTGCCTGCCCTGACTTACAGATGGGTTTTGAACCCTTTTCTCCCACTTTCCAGGTAAACCCAAAAAACACACTAAAACTCAGCTCTCTGCCCATTCTTTTGACTGTATCCTGGAGCTGAGAAACATTTACCACCAAGTCCTGTCACTTGCAGTTTATTCCCAGGACATGTTTTATTTATACTAGCTCATGTTTCCAAAACAACAAAAAGTTTGATCACAAATTGTTTGGTTGGGAAGGGTTTTATACACACCTTCCTTCATCCACCAACACCGATCACATTGCAACACCACAAGCTGTATTTTAATACTTCTGCTAAAACAATCAGTATGTAAAAAAAACTCTGCCTAATTTCCTCATACTTTTCTTCATGCTTTTCTCCCCCTCCCACTTGGGCAGGGAAACCAGCAGGCTGAGTTTCCCTCACCATTTCCCAGTGAAGTGAACACAGCAGAGAAAACAGGCATTTGTTTAAGGAAAACTGGGGTTTTTTGGGAGTTTGACAGTGTTTGCTGGAATACTGCTACTGAGTCCTGGAGGGGACTAACAAGTCTCTGTGCTGTGGTGGATCAGCTCCGGGGCAGGTGGTGGAGGGGGAGTGCACAGGGCTCAGCTCCTCTCCGACACCCCATCGCTGCGATCTGCTCTGGCTCCGGAGGTTTGAAGGATGGCTGTGAAACAAGTGCCTGCAGCCCGTCATCTCAGCTCATCAGTGAGCCCAGGGACAAGACTTCAGGTGACAGTCCTGCCAGCTGGCTAAAAATTCTGTCTGCAGCTACCAGCTGGGTTGAACGAAGTACAGGGAAAAAACCTCTCGCACCACCAGCCACAGCGAAACCCCCACCTTTAGGCTGCACACGACTGGATGACAAATAAATTTTCCCCATAGGAATCTCTCGGGCAACACGAAGAAAACTTCCTTTCCTTCCTGCACTCGGAGCTGACCTCGGGGTTCTCCTCCACCTCTCACACCTCTGGCTGTCCAGCTGCAGTCCTGCTCCTCCTGCCCATCCAACCAGCCCCGGTGGCTGCGGCAGCACCAACAGTTTTTTGGCACTAAACTGAAGTCCTGCCCTGGAAATCACAAGCCCATTAGCCAGGCCTGCTAGCTAACCTGTTGAGCAACTGTTCAGTGTACGCAGATGTGAAGTGGCATCTTTTTAATCCAGCATGGGAGGACTCTTCCTATCCTCTTCCTCGGCCAGGAGAGCTACCTGTCTGCTCCTTCACCTGTGTGCTGCAGGGCTGGCAGCGCGGATGTGCCCTCACCCAGGGCAAACCAGGGGGGAAAAAGGTAAATCTGAGCAGCCTTGCAGCCAGAGGGAAGATACAGGAGGGTCCAAGCTTTTTCTTCCCACGCTGGCAGCCGGCAAACACACGCTGCACTTTCATAACAAGACTCCACTTATCACTCAGCAGCTCCAAAGGATGCTCAGCTGCTGGAGGAAGGGATCCCTGCCCCATTCCCCCAGCAGTGAAGGAAGGGGGCCTCTCCAAGGGTCAGCCGGACACCGAGCTCCCCGGGACAAGCGCGGGTTCCCCGCAGGGAGCGCTGGCGGCTCCGCGGTGCTTTTGGGAAAGTCTCACGCAATTGCTCGCTGCGCTTAGCGCAGGGCAGGGGATTGCGGGGCTCCGGAGGTGCCTGTGCATCATTCCCCTCGCAGAAGGAGCGCACACGCGTGGCTGCACCGGCACCCCGTCCGTGCCTCCGCCGGGGCCCTGCGCTGATGCTCGCCACCCCCGGCACCGCACTCGCCCGCGGCCACCCAGCCCCGCACCCCCCGCGGGCAGCGGGTCCCCCCCGGTCCCGCCGCGCCCCCCTCGCACCTTGTCGGACGGCTTTCACCACGATGGGGTCCTTGCAGCTCCGGATCACTTCCAGCACGTCGTAGCGCGGCAGCCCCGACACGCGGACCCCCTGCACCTCCAGCAGCAGCTCGCCCTCGCTCAGCGCCGCCTCGCCGTCCCCGTCCGCCGCGCCCGCGTACGGGAACTCTCCGTGCTCCGCGCCGCCGAGCAGGGCGAAGCCCAGCTGCCCGCCGGGCCCGCGGCTGAGCGCGCACTGCCGCACCCGGCTGGACCAGTGGTTCTTCTTCTGCACGACCCGCGACATGGCGCTGCGCGTCCCTCCGCGCCGCGGAGCGCTCGGCAGGTGCGCAGGGGGCGCGGACCCGCCGCCCGCTCAGGCCATCACCGCCCGCACGGCTCCGCGCCCGCGGAGGGCGCGCACCGCCTCCCGCCCGCCCCTCCGCGCCGTCCCTTCTCCCCTCTTAGTAAGAAAGAAAAAAAAAAAAAATTAGAAATAATTTTAAAGCGCTGAAAAAGCAAATCCGGCAGCCGCGCGGTATTGCCGCCCCTCTCCGCGGGCGCTGCGCGGGGCGCGGAGCCTTTCAGGCGGTACAAAGCGCCGCTTGTTTTGTTCCAGTTCGGTCCGTCCCGCTCCGCCGCGCTCCGCGCCGCCGGCGCAGGCGCCCTGGCACGGCCCGCCCCGGCCCGGCCCGGCCCCCGCCCGCTCCCCGCCCCCGGCACGGCCCGGCCGGGCGGCCCCCCCGCCCCACGTGCGGCCGCGGCTCCTCCCGCTCGCACCGACAACTTTCCCGAGGGGAGAACTCCGTGCCCGCGCCCCCCCGGCAGGAATCATCTTGCTCCGAGCGGGCCCGGAGCGCGGGTGCTCTGCCCGCGCCCCCGGAGATGCTCATGTTCCAGGCGGCTGGGGATGGCAGATCTTTGCTTTCCCGGGCGGATTTCTAGGATTTTCCCAGTTGCAAACCTCTGCAATCACTTCTTACCTGCGCTTTCCAGGTGGTTGTTACAGGAGGAGACGCAAAGTACAAGTCCTGAGGAAAAAGTTGCACAAGCCCGTCATTAAAATGGTATCAAAGCGCTTGCACAAGGCTGAGTGAAAGTCGTGCTCCTACTCTTAGTTCTCCACTTTTTTATTGAACTTGAGACATTAATAATGTTCTCACATTGTCCTGTCCTCGTGTAATTGGTTAGAAGCCGGACTGACTAATAGCGAGGTCTCGCTGCTGGGGAAAGGGACGCGCATCCATTTGCTTGTCCTTGGCCACAACTCCTCAAAGTTACCCAGAACTAGTGCAAAACTCAGAAGGGGAAAATAAGAAAGCGTGCACGTACCAGCTGTCCCTTCCAGGTCATGCTCCATGCTTCCAAACCTGAAAGCCAGGCCTCATTTTGAGCAGTCTTATGCATGACCGAACCCCTTCCAGCAAGGAATTCAGTTGTCAGATGTGTGCGTGCCCTATTTTGCTGCTAATCGGGACTGAGAAGTGACACAGGGAAACAAAGAGTCTGGTCTGGCTCTCTGCGCTGCCCTAATGTGTGCTCAGACGCTACAGCCCGCAGACTTTCACTGCTGTCGCTCTTTCATCTCCCATCCTCGCAGCCAAGCGTGCCCTGCAGTGATCTGCGATGCAGGAGAGGCGGCAGGCTCGGGAAGCATCGGTACCTGGGGAAGAAGCTCAGCCTAACATCGTCTGATGCTGGCCCGGCTGGTCAGCCAGGCTTGGCTGGCTAAGAGAGGTGACCGGGATACTTTGCCTGCCCTTGCACCGGTCCCGGATGGAGCAGGGGAGCCTGTCCTTCCCCCGGCCCCTGCGTTCCGTCCCTCCTTTCCCCAGCTGCAATCTCTCATCTGGCTGCTCTGTAGCACTGCAGACACCGCTCCGCGGCCTCGGGCTCCCGCCCCGGCGGCACAGCCACGTCCAGGCAAGGGAACGGAAGGCTTGGCCAATGTCACATAGCGCAGCAGTGAGTCAGCTCCGTCCCCTGTGCCTCAGGCACCTCTGGCCAGGTCTCCATGGGAAGCAGATGGGATTCCTAGGGCTCAGGAAAGTCCTGCCAAGGGAGGGGGCAGAGCCTGCCTTCTTGGGTAGAAATGGGCTCATGAAGTTCAATGGACCTGCTGTGTCTAGCCCTCATTTGCTTCCAAGAGTTTTCTTTCCATTTGGAACTTTCATACTTTGTTTTCATCCTTAAAGCTGTTCTGATCCCTTATGTTTGAGCAGCAATAACTGCCTCACATCTGCTTTTGCTGGCTCAGTAACCAGCTGCCCAATTTGTCACCTTTAGGATGACAGCACACTTTTTATTGTGCCTTCACCAATAAAGAGTGGATTGGTCATCGGGCTGGATCCCCTGGGCAATAAATGCTCCAGAGGTCTGTAGACCCTACAGAGCAGCAGCATGGCTTGTGGGGAAGGGTTTCTCTCTCTCATCTGTGCACTGGCTGATAGTTGTGTCACACACGTGAGCTCAGGGTGCAGGGAGCCCCTTGTTCACAGCCAAGAGCTGGGTGTGACGTATTTTCATCACCATCATTTTTCAGGGTGTCTTATATGACAGCTCTCCTGAGCTAAAAATCATCTGGGATCCATGTGAGCATCACATGAGTTGTGGTTGCCCTGAATAGATCTTACAGAACTACTTGTGCTTCATGGAAAAAAATTTTGAAAAAGACTATTTGGAAAAGTTTTGATAGTAAATGTATGAGGTGACAGACTTCCAAGGGCCCTTTTCAGTTTGCTTACAAACAGTGCAACTGTAATGGAAGTGTGAGCTGTCCCCGCTGTAATCCTAACACTGTACTCATGTCTGGGCACCATGGTCCCAAAATTGCTCTTGCTGATCATTAACAAAACCAGCAAACCTCAACCAGAACTTCATTTTCAGATTTTCACTTCAGTTTTTCTCCTGGACCAGTTTCCTACCATTTTTTCTCCTTGTTGTATCCAGGTGGTCAGTCTGGATAACCCTAGATCCTGGAAGCTGGCACCACTTAAAACAGCTCAAATATAGCCAAGGTTTTTTGTTGTCCTGATTGCCAACTCTGTGACTGCCCAGCACCTCACTGCTGCAGCGAGATTATTTCAGGGCACAGCTGCTCCAACCACCTCTATTAAAGGAAACCCTTGGTCAGACTTTAAAAGCACTGAGCCCTTGACCAATGGCCAGGCTGCTCCTGCCCAGAAGGGACCCTGACACCAGCTGATGGATAATTGGGTTATTACTCCATACAAACCTGGCATTGCATTTCGTTGCAGAGCCTGGCCTCTCTCCCAGGGACACTGGTCCTGCCTTTGCAGAGGATGGATTTAATGATTAACAGACTGTCTTCATCTCAAACAACTGCAGCTCTAATAATGAGTTTCTCCTTTTTGTGAGGGTCTCTAAGCACTTCACAAACAGTAATTAAGGAATCTTCACAGGGCACCAACCTGGGGAGCAGCTGAACATTAACACAGGGCAGGGAGAAGCTATGGGGACATTCCTCATTTGAGGACAGCTCACTGTAGCCATCCTACTTCACCTGCAGCAGCTGGTCCAGCCTCATCTCATGCAGTTCTGCATGTTCTTTACCAGCTCACAGCCCATGACAGCGCTGTAAAAACTGATTTGGGTGGGCTCAGGCCTTTAAGCAGAGCCTGATTCCCTTGCTCATTTTTGTCTGCAGTCACTCTGGCCCATGCATTTGCAGCTGCTAATTTGTCAGGATGAGAAGGCTGGTGCTTTCTTCCTCCTTCAGAAGGTGCTCTGCATGCTTTGGGCCCAGCTACAAACACACAACAGCTCAAATGGTTCTTTCAAATAGGATATTGACCCATGGACTTGGTCTCAAACGTCTCTGAAATTTCGTGCTGTGTCCCAGATTCTAAAATGGGTCAAAGCTCCCCCAAGCATCATCTCATTCTCTCAGCTTTCCTACTGAAACTTTAGGAAACCACAGTTTTACTTTTTTTGGAATGGAAAACCATGTCTAGTCGCTGAGAATGTTGTGGGTTTATGGCAGTTCACAGCCATGTAGTCCCACCAGAGAGCATTACAAAAGATGACAATGATTAAGACTACAAATGAAAGTACAGAATATTTAACATAGCAGAATTTATTCTTAATTTCCAAATAAACCCCAAACCTTTGATATCACAGGCCTCAAGGCTTTGAAAGCCTGAGCACATAGATCCTGGAAAAAAAGAGAGTAGAGAGACTTTAAACAAGATCCAGTTTCTCAGACATTGAAGTTTCCTGTTGGCACACTAACTACCAGAATCTGTCAGTAGGAGAGCCATGTATTGTGGTTATTTCCCAAACAAGAATTGTTTTATAGTAATCCCACTTAACTCTTACTGGAGGAGAATTTTCTGTGTAGAAGCCAGGATTTCTCAGCAGGCTGGTACTGCTCTCTGGTAGCAAGGAGGAGATGGGTTGCTGCTGCTTTGAGTCCTGGTCCTGGCAAACATTTCAACAGGCGACCCAACCCCAGGTACTGAACAAACCCTGGATTTATAGAAAACCTTCAAAGTGTCAGGACATGAGAAATTCTGGTTAAGCTGATGACCAGCCAGCACAGACAGGTCCTGCCTAAGGTCAGTGGCAGAGCTTGGTCAGCAAGATCCATCCCAAAAGGCAGCTCCTTGTGTAGGACATTTCCAGCAGCAGGGTGGCTGTACCCCCATCCGGGGCTGGCTCAGAGTGAGTCTGTAACCATGGGATGCTGGGAAGAAAAAGGAAACTCGCCCCTTACTGGGACTTCATGTCACCTTCCTCTACAATTTATTTCAATAATATCACACGTAGTGGAATATAAAGCTGAAGATCAATCTCATAACCATATTAAGACACTCTGGGGTGTATTTTATAGGACCATTAATGTACTTCTTGGGTGGTTAAAGTCACCCACAGCATAAATTAATGGCTCCATAAAACATGGTCTGTCATATCCTATGGCTTAAATAACACACAATAGGCTGGGTATGTTGGGATGTGGTTGAGCTTATTGGGTGTAAGCAGAGGGTCAGAGTGACCACCTGGAAGTGAGGATGCCAGACTCAAGGAGCCGAGTCATTTTTAAAAAGCAAGATTGTAGAAAATCCAACACAATTACAAGCTGTAGATTTCATTAGTTTCATTAGCACTTGTACTCCCAGGTCTATTCCTTTCATTCAGGCATAGCCTCCCTGCAGATGCGTTCTGCTCCAGGGTAGGATTGTTGTGGGTGGGGCTTTTTGGCATGGAGATACAGGCTTGAAAAGCCCTGAAGAAGTCGAGCACAGAGCAGGTAAAGCCTCTTGGTTAGAGTAGGGATCAGATTGGCTT